TGGAGGTGAAGGTGGCTGTGTTGGATTCCCTTTCTTTGATGCTTTGAGGGTACCACAGGGCAGAGGGGCTTGTGTCTACTGCACCTGCAGGTCTCTGAAGGGGGAATTGTGCTGGAATAGACCATGTCCAAGGCTTTGGGGGCTCGGGATTGTGTGCTAGGAAGGGTGGCCCGGGCACATGCAGAGTAGAAGGGGATCTTCATTAGTTCTGTAGTTCTAGATGATGGAACATGGAGGCCCACAGAGGGTGGTGTCCCAAGCTTGCAGGGCCACTTCTCGTGTAATAGGCCTGAACAGGGGCCGGAGCGTGTGCTGCTCGCGGATGCTAATGACACGGTTATCTTCCAGGGCAGAATTGGCGAGAATGCATGTAATCTCCTCCAAGATGGAGGATAAGTGCTGTCCCTAGAAAATATTGTGAAATAGGGTCACCCCAGCAACAAAGACCACGGATCCTATGGTCCTGCTTACTTCCAGCGAACGGACAGTCACGGAACCTCATCTCTCCCTGACTGTATCTTCTCTCCTGAAGAATCAAGACTACAGTAACACTGTCTGAAGGCTGGGAGAGAAGGGCAGGACACCAGACACCGTGATAAAGAGGAGACAGGAGGATAGAGAGGCGTGAGGGGAATTTCCTCGCTTGCACCCTTCGTGGTGACTGTAAGAGCACTATTTTCACTTGACAGAACATTTTCTTGTACTAGCCTGAGACTTCTATACATAGGTGAGATGATAGAAATCATTGAATTGGGTTAAACTTTAAATAGAAATACAAGGAGAAGAAATTAAAATATGTGCTGGAGGCAGCGTGAGCAGTCAAGGCCACTAACAGTACAAGGGATTTTTCTGAATAAAACACACTTCATGAGATGTTTCACTGCACCGAGAACTCCGAAATCACCCAGCAGTTACTTTGCTTTAGAAATAGAGCACAGTATAATTTTGACAAAAAGTCTCTCTCCCTGTGGCATGCAGTCAAGTGACCCTCAGACCTACTGCAGACGAGCCACAGAGCTGCTGGCTGACACCGTCTCAGTCCTCAGTCTTCGTGTTACAACGTTTCTGCCCAGGGGTGCTGCCTGCAATGACGGGCACATGCCAACCCTCACCTGCAATGACTGGCCAAGGAACTGAGTTTTAAATTGTACTTGACTTATTTAAATTTAAATAGCCACCAGGTCTAGTGGATCATGTTGGACAGAGAAGCTCTTGGGTTTTAATAAAAATGCACAATCAACTTCTGTTTAAACCCTCCTTAGTCCTTAGGACTCAGAAACCAATCTGCATGGCAGTTCCCTGGAGACTTGAAAAGCAAAGTGCATCTTCTGTTTCCAGAGCGAAGAGTCTGATTAACAACAGTTAGAGCTGCCCTGGTCTTTTTGCTGCTGAGGGCACTGGTACTGTCGCTGATCACGTTCAGCTGCTTGACCCTGTCCTGGACTTTGGACGTGAACTGTACCTTCAATGTTCCATTTCCCATCATCCTCAGCTTCTGGAATTGAATAACTTTGTTGTCAATATTACACTGCCTTCCCTAGAACTTCTCTTTACTCAGAAAGGAGGATTACAGGGAAATACCTCTCTCATATTTTATATCTAACATGTCAAATAAGGGGGAAAAGTTCTCTCTCTTTACAACTACCACATGGGTTTGGAACTTCAAGGCACTTCAGCTTTGATGGGGAGTAGATTCACACAGCAGGAGGAGTTCATGAAAGAGAAAAGCCACAGCCCCCACCTGGACTTCATGAACATTGTATTTTCTCATGTAGGGTTAGAAACAAGTATCTGATGGAATCATCTGCTGGTCTGATCCTGTCTGGCCAACATCTCTGTGAATGTCTTGACCTTCTTTTCATGCTTAATGCTTCATGATTAAAGGTATCTGCTGAAGATCCAAACAGCAAAACCACATTCAGGAAGGCAGCTATGGAAAAGGGAGAAAGGCTTTGTCAGTACCCCTTTCTCAAGCTGTGTAATCTTTTTGAGAAATGTCATGCATGTGTGCCATTTGACATAGATGTGTCTGTCATATGCAGATTCTGGGCTCCCAGGGACAATAAGGGGGAAGAAGCCTGTAGACTGGCAAGCGGTAGCTAGGCTAAATTAAAGTTCACCAAGGAAAGAGAAAGCGGTAAATGGGTACTGGTTAAGTGACTGACCATTTAGCATAGCAGGAATCCAATTGTATATATATGTAAGAAATATAAATATAAATATAAATATAAATATAAATATAAATATATATATATGAGAGAGAGAGAGAGAGAGAGAGAGAGAGAGAGAGAGAGAGGAGAGAAACTTTTTTCCAGAAGAGAAAAAGCTATCACTGATTTCACACAATGTTTAAATCACAGATTTCCTGGTCTGTGGAATTGGAATGAGACAAATGCTAGTAACAGACCCAAGAAATCCTAAGAATCAGGGTTTTGTTTCAATGAGTCAAACTCACCTTATTGACCGTATTGTGCCTGCTCTAATACGAGTCTTCTCTCAGCAGCCGCTTAGCTTCTGTGCAAACCATCCTGTCAGCCCCTCACGTCGGCAGCCCCCATACTCGCTTCAACATGGCCGACTCCTTGTGGAAACTTCTCAGGTGAAGAGGAGGCTGAGAGGACAGCAGAGCATGAGTGTGAGGAAGAGCTGAACAGCAAGAAACAAAAACACCTGTGCTTCTTACTTTGCCATGATGCAGAGGTTGGCTGGAGAGGTTGCAGATGGACCAAAGGGTTCAGAGTGTACCCTAGGTATGGGGAGCAAATGCCAAGACATTTAGCTCGCGTGCAGAGCATGTTTGGTGTCTGAACTTCAGCAGTGTAAGTATCCTGGGGAAGCAAATTTGTCCATTTCAATATCCTGGGGATGGTGCTTTGATAAGCTTCTTCTGCACCTTACACAGTAATGAGAATGGCTCTGGGTGGCAGAGGGGACTCTCAGCAGACTCCCTCTCTCCCAGAGGCAGACTAGAGCAGACCGAGTTCTCTAGGAATCAGTGTGCCTTCTCATGGGCTCCAGCTCCTCTTGCATGTTATTAGAGTCTCAGAAAGAGCTTCATTATCTGCATATTATTCAAATACCCAGACCCACCATGTCTGCCGAAGATGTTAGCTGTATAGGGAACAGAGTAGGATAAAGGTTTGATTTGGAGGAAAAAGGTATGATTTGGGGGTAGGGAGAAAGTGGACTTGATGCATTTTATGTTGGGCTTAGACAGATCCCCCGTCTAGTTTATAGAAAGCCTTGAAAATAGAAGACAGGCGGAGAAGAAATAAAATTAGTAAGATGTGCTAAGTGCATGTGCCAACTTAGCAAGAAAAGGTGATTATTATGTGATGTAAACATAAGCCAATAAACAGAAACTAAAAGAGGATGGCTGGTGAGATAGTTCAGTGCACTGACCTCCTGTTTAGGCAAGTGCAGGGTTCAGGATTTGATCCCCAACACCACATAACGTGCTGGCCCTCTCTGCCCCCGAATGTGCTGAGCCAGTGACCAAGTCCAGGTATGGTGGTGCAAGCCTGTAATTCCAGTGCCGGGGAGGCTGAAAACAGGGGGATCACTACACATCCGAGCTGCATAATGAAACCCTGTACTAAATACATTTTTTTAAAAAAGAAACTAAAAGAAGGAATATATGAAATTTTGGAAAATTATTTCACAATCTGACTGAAATTTTGGAAAATATAGACAACTACCATTATTAGAATAATATTCAGAGTTCCAATATATTGAAATGGTTTAATATTTTAGTGTATTTTTATAGTCTTATGTGTGGGTACATGTATAGATGCATGTGTAAAGTTTATAACATGACCAATGATTTATTATTATTATTATTATTATTATTATTATTATTATTTTTGGTGGTAGCAGTTTGAGCTCAGGACTTTGCGCTTGCCAGGCAAGCACTTATTCTACTGAGCTATCTCCCTGGCCCATGACCAATGATTTTTTTTTTAAATATATTTTTTAAACATTTATTTATTTGTGTGTGTGTGTGTGTGTGTGTGTGTGTGTGGCCAGCTCAGCCCACCAGGGGGCGGGCTGGCTGGCATGTGGTGCTGGGGGATTGAACCGCGGTCCCTGTGCTTTGCTAAGCTTGTTCTAAGTAGGTGCTTTAGACCACGGAGCCATCTCACCAGCCCCATGACCAATGATTTAATTCATACTATATAAACCATTTTATGCCCTGTGAACAATGATCTATAAGTACTTGCCTATTAATATTCCTAAAATCCTTTTTTAACAGCTGCACAGTGCACCGTGAATTACTTTTTTTTTTTTTTTTTGCAGAATTGAACTCAGGCCATTACATCTGCCAGGAAAGAGCTTATTCCACTGAGCCATCTCCCTGGCCCCCACCATGAATTACTTAACCATTTCCTATTTTAGATTTCATTTTAGCTGTTGTTCTACCTTCCAATGGATCTTTATTTTTTGATACTTCTGTATCTATTATAAATTCATTGTCATTAATATTCATCTGCTAAATTTGAAACTGAGAAATTATCCAGAATTAAAATTACTGATAAAAAATAAGGACTTCTCTTCAGGGCTATTGAAAGATATTGCCAAGTAGCCTTTGAGGTTTGGACACTTATATTTCTGTTGTCAGATGGTTTTTTTTTCCTATTTCTTCTCATTTCCTCTCAAAATCTAGAAATTAACTTTTAAGATATGAAAAAAAAACTCATAACTTTAATTTGCATGTCTTTGATTATTAGCGAATTTCAACAATTTTCATGTATTTCTGGCTATGTTTTCCTTCTTTTTCATTTTCTTTTTTTTTTTTTGGTGCTGGGGATCAAACTCAAGATCTTGCGTTTGCCAGGCAATGCTTGTGCTGCTGAGCTAGCTCCCTGGCCCAGCTATTTTTTCTTAAAAATTAATGCGCTAAATTCCCTTTTTGTTGTATTTTTATCATTTAAGATAATTTGAACCTTATACAGAGAGATAACTAAAAAAGTGCTAGTCCAACCCATGGAAAACCCACACAGATGCTCGCTTCAGCAGCATATGTACTAAAATTGGAACAATACAGAGACGATTAGCACGGTCCTTGCACAAGGATGACATGCAAATTCATGAAGTCTTCCGTATTTTCAAAAAGAAAACAAAAACTCCACATAGATCGCCCCTAGCAACTTATAATACACATAGTTTGTTGCTCCTTTTCTATTAATCTTCTCAAATGTAGCAGTCCCTCCTGTGAAATGTACTGTTCAGAGAAAATGTGATTTTTTTTCTTATTCTTTGTAATCCTGAGAGATAGTCTCACAGCTGAAACTTTCCTCCTTTAATTTTCACTCTTCTTCATACATCATTAGTGCAAACTCCAGGGTTATGGGAGGGCAGTGTATGGACTGAATATTTATTGAGCTCTAATTGTGTGTCTAAATGAAGACACCAGCCATGAAGCTACCAATGTAAGTCTTAAAAATAATAATTTACATAATTAGCCAACAGGAAGGTCTGAGCTATTATTTAAGTTCATATATAATATCACATCGTCAAGTGCTAATTTATGCTCTGTTCCTTCCAGAATGATTGAGCTGTTTGGAAGTTTTATTTATGATTCACGCTCAGATTCATTTTGCAGTGATGATAATGTTGAGATAATGGGAATTTATAGTTAGCTCTGACAAGAGGCCATAAAACAAATGGCTGGATGTTTTCTCTATTGCCACAGGCTTAATTTGTAACATAAAGTACTTAATAATTGTTATTAATGAACCCGCTGGGGTTGGTTTATAGACACAGCTGGAATTCACATCTGTCATCAGGCAGCCTGGTCTGAGGAAAGCACAAGAACCACAGGAGCTAATAGCTACAAAAGGAAATGACATCACAGAGCCACAGGAAGTGCCCAAAGAAGCTGGCCGCCCTGAGAGAAGAGGGAAGACAGAATGCTTAGTGTTTGGTTATCTTTTCCTCTTTTTTTTTTTTTACACATATATTCCAAGTGTGTTCAATTATGAGTCAGGATTTTAGACTAGTTTACACATTAAATATTAATAAAACTTACATCTTATGTGTTAGAGGAAAAGAAATAAAAATACACCAATTTCAGCCAACCGTTTTGCCAGGCGTTTTTTCCTACTCTGCTGCTTCCCTGAAATTGGTTTATTTACCCTTGTTGCTGTAGATTTAGGTTTTTCTGTCTATGTGTAGAAGTTGTTACCCTCATTTGAGGCCATTTCCCTCAAGTTGTTGCAAGGAAAATGCATGCTTGTTTTCATGTCCCTGTATTTTTTCTTACTTATTTCTTTGTCTCCCTCCCAACTTGTATTGGCAGTTATTCTAGTATCTTTGTTGTGTGTATTATTTGGGTATATGTGGCCCTTTAAATATGTTTTGTTTTGCATGTGTGTATTTTTATTTTATAGAAATAATGGCAAATTAGAGATCTCATTTTATGTTAGTTAGCATCAAAGTGGTTGTCATGGTGTTCCATGAACCTTTAGTTCATTCTCTCTAACTATCTCATCAAATTGCATCTGTGTCCACCAGAAGATTTCTCTTATTCTTGGTCAGCAGTAGGTGCTTAGACTGCTCTCAATCCTTTTTAGCATAAACATGGTGGCAGCAGACCTCCTATGTGTGTTACTGGGAGATCTGTAGGGGAGATTCACTGGACTACACATGAAAGTGTATCACTGAGTCCCAAGGTGCTGGCGACCCTGACCCCAGCAGCTGCTGGCAGCTAGGGCTGCTCACACCTGCACCGGTCTTCTCCGTGGGTGGGGGAGCATCTTCCCTGCATCCCCGCATCCCAGCAAAGGCTGAGACTGCTGACTTCTGGCGCAGCCAAGAGAACAAGCACCAGATGATACTGCACTGTCTTCACAGACTTCTGTGAGTGTGACTGAATCTGGGCATCTCTTGGTTTGCTTATTTGCTCCTGGGGTTTATTCTATTTGAATTGTTTATTTATGCTTTTTGCCCATTTTTTTCTCTTGGGATATCAGTCTTTTGTAGGCTTAAGAGAGTTCCTTGTATATTTGTAAATTATAAGCTTTAGATATTACTAGTGTTTTCTTGTAGTCTGTCATATCCAAATGAGCTTATGTTTTCTCTATTAAACACAAGTAGTTAATTTTGATTTAATCACATTTAACACATCTTTGCCTTAGATTTATTCTCTTCAGATATTTAAAGAATAATCCTTTCTTGGCTCCCAATCACAAATAGGTGTTTTGACATTTTCTCCTACTGATTTTCTATGTTATCTTTCATTACTCTATGTGGATTTTACCTTTATATGGAATAATGGCTGTATCCAAATTTTTTTCTTTCTCCTATAAACAAAGTAACCTATCATTTACCTTTGAGTTTTGATGTTATATTTCTACATTTATCATATTAAATTCTCACTTCAGTGGCTTTGTATTATTCTTAGAGTGAAAACCACAGCCTTACAGAGGCAGGGAAAATTCAGGTCTCCTTCCATAATTCCCTTTCTGTTTCTTTGTAGTTCTTCTTCCTGGTCCTGAAACTTGTCAGTCATGTTTCTGCCTTGAGGTTCAGTGTGTGTGTGTGTGTGTGTGTGTGTGTGTGTGTGTGTGTGTGTGTTTGCTCCTAGAAGTTGAACCTAGAACCTCTTACATGCTAGGCAACCAATGAATCAGTGAGCTATATCTGAAGTTTTCTTACTATTAGGGTTTTGTTAGATTGCCCAGGTTGGTCTTGAATTTGTGATCCTCCTGCCTTAGGGTCCTAAGTATCTGGGATTGAAAGTGTGTGCCACTACACTTGCATTTTGTGTCCAATTTATCATTGATTTCAAATATCCTTCCCTAAATACCTACACAGCTCATTCCCAGACGTCCTTCCCAGGTTTTCTGTACAATTCCCCCTTCGCTGAGTCCTATTTACAAGTGCACTATCCGCTATGACTGATTCTCTCTGGATCCCTTCTTCAAGGGATCAAGTCTGTTTTAGTGTTTTTCATCTCTCATGTGCTCTTCCGTTTCCAAGTTCATTTCACTTATTTTCAATCTTCCTTCACTGGGATAGTAATCTTCAAGATAGAAGAAACACTTGCTTGTTTTGTTTACTGTGTAATAATCATTGCTTACTAAGGTAATTTTAAGAAAATATTTTGAATGATTGAAAGAAATCATAGAATAGCTACCTCTTCGTGACGATTAGCCTAGAAAAAAATCATAGGCTGAGTCTTTTAAATCTCAAGTGATATATTTAAACCTGATCTATCACTTTCTTCAAAAGCAAAGTGACATGCCAGCCCAGGAAGGACCAGTGAGGGATCCAGTAGGGCCCTGTGGGGTGCATACACCCTGTAGGAAAGACCACTGCAGTGGAAAATTCCAAACCACCAGTGATAGTATGAACTAGTAATTGGTAAGCTGAGTGAACCAGCACTGTGCTTCAAGATCCAGACATGAAGCATGGAACTCGGCAGGTGGCCCCACCTTTTCTTTTTTAATCAAAGGTCTCTGAAAGAACTTGAATATGGGGACTTGACTGACCTTACCAGATACAGAAGTTGCATTTCTTGTTATATAGGTCTTCCTTTATCGTGGTCTTAACAGTCCAGCAGAAAACTACAAAAACAAGGTATAAAAAGTAAAGCCATATTAATATGCTGAGCTGTAAAAGACTCAAGTCAACAACTTCTGACATTGCCAGTCCTGCGGATAACCCACTACTATTATGGACTACTGGACTATATTGGATTATTTTGCTGAATTCACATACCTACAGTATTTAAATGGCAGTGGATTACCCATCTCTAACAAAACTAAACAAAAAAAGGGGATACAAAGGAAGGACCATTTTGTGCCTGTGTATACAAAATAGTGAGGATAGATATACAGCTACTTTCTCTTAATCCAATGAGAAGAAAGATTTGTATTGATAGTATTTGGACGGAATATCATGTCTGCATCTTGTACTATGAATAGCCACTAAGAAGATAACAATATACAATATGTTAATTACTGAAACTGTCCTATTAATTGGTTTTGAAACTGTCTCATTGCTGTTTCTTAGTAAAATTAATAATAAAAAACTCTCCCAAACCCTATGTTTACAGGCCAAAGTCAGACCCATAGCCAGCATAAATCTCATCTCAAACTTGGCTGGAGTATAAAACACAAATCTGGCATCAGATTTGGATCTACTACAGAAATGTAGATATCTGAGAAGTTTTACTAATTCTATTTTTCTGCTTGTTTGCTTTGTTTTCCTTTCTCTGTCAAGTTGAGGGATTTTTTTGGACTCCTTTTGTGGTTATTTTTTTCTCTTATTCACTTTTCTCACTTGTTTTCTTGTTACTCAACTTCTTTCTCTTTCCTAAACTATCACATTTGATTTTATAATACTTTCAAGTGAATAAATATTGTTTCTTCTCTTTCTGGCTCACTGCAACACTCTTTTGCTTTCTCTTCCATTCTTTTACTCCTCTGTCCTCCAGTGTCCCGTGCTTTGTCCTCCAGGTTTACTCCAACTATACTTGACATAATCCATCTCTCTAACTTGCTCTCTATCTCTATTTAAAAAACAACCTGAACAAAGATTAAAATCATTTCACCAGGGAAAAATCATTGCATACAAGTTCCTCGTATATGTTGGATTTCATTATATAACTATAGAATTTTTCTCCTATGGGTAAAGGTATCAAGTTAAGAGCTACAGAAGTCTGCCAGTAGCTACAGTATGCTTGAGGTGATTGTTACTGGTAACTACACTACTGTAGCGAGGATGAAATACCTATTATAATCAGTTTTTATCACTTGCATGACAACACTGTGATTATATGAGGCTATAACTATCACTGTAGTCCAGTAACAGAGGATCAAGTGTGGACATTGAGCAGGTAGGCTCATGGTATAGACTTAAAAACCAAGACACCCTACATCAAAAGACAGCCCTGATAAACAGGCATTTCTTAGGGAAGCCTTAATATGAGGGATAAAGCTATCTACCATGAGGAATCCACAAGCATCAAACAGAAAACAAAATAAAAGAAAAACATAGAAAATGACACGGTACACAAGCAAAATGTGATCCCAGAGCCCTGACCCACCCAGGACAAGCCCACAGAACAATGAGATAGATGAAATAGGAGGCCATCCCATGGAA